CATAATTAGAGGGTACAGACTGTCACTGTTCTCCCCTCCCCCAAAAAATAAAGCCCTCCCCCAGGTGGTTCGGGTGTTACTGACATTGCCCTCCGATCCTGCAGAATCTTGAATTCCCTCTACAGCGTCTTCATCCATCCAGCCCTCCAGCCTGTAAACTAGCCCCACCAACAACGGGGACTTCTGAATACTGTTCTAATCAGCCTATACAGTCAGGACATATATAACTTGGAAAAGCCTGCTAAGCATCTCAGGATATTTTTTAAAAGTTAGTTTTGTTTTGCTAAGTATTGTTTAACTGTGTAACCTAAATCTCTTAAAAACCAAGAGGACTCATGATATCCTCTTCTTCTTCACTAGATCAAAGCTACAGAGCTGTTTCCTTGAAATACAGATGATTTGTAGAACCACAGTGTGCATGGGCAGAGAACATGGGGATGCCTGTGCTGCTCCCAAACGTGGAGTTCTCACACGTACAGAAATCAGATCTCCGTCTGCAGGTGACTCAGCTGTAACTCAGCCCAGCTCACGGAGGACTTCACTTCCATCACGTGTGATAGAAGGAAAGCTTGGTCATTCTCTAACCTGCCATCATTACGTGATGGAAAGAAAGCTCGGTCACGCTGTAACCTGCTGTCATTACCAACACGTGGGGAGATGCTAGGATGAGAGAGCTCTCAAATACTTTCTCTGAGAATCATGGAAACTAAGGGGGTTACGTCTGTGTTGGACACTGAGGACCCAGCCAGTTGTTACCGTCCGTGCATCTCAGATCCCCAGGGGCCTTGCTCTGGTTACCTGCCCACCACCTGGCACCCGTGCCACCTGAGGTCAAAGCCATTTCTCTTCTTACTTGTCATGGGAAGAGAGGCTAAGAATTGGTTTTTTTCTGAGATAGATGAGGAGGCGTCTTGCCAACATCTGGGCTGTCCCCAGGGCAGGTAGAATACTGCTAGAGAAAAATGAGCCAGCATTTTGCTGACAGATTTTGCACCATTCGATACCCCCACCCCGTCTGGAAGAAAAGTATCCCACTAGGCCATCTGGTATCTCTGGAGCTTGATGTCCGTGGAATGACACTTCTCCCCCATGTTGCTGCTCTGCCCCCGTTTTTTATATAATATCCATATGTAACCTCGAGTTTTTTTACTGCTGCAAGTTTGGGGGTCCCAGGGAACCAACTGACTCAAGGCGCTTTCAGGAATTCACTGTGAGTTCTGACTGGTTGAGACAAAATTTTCCCAAGTCATTGCTTCGCTTCCGAGGTGTTCCTTTTCCTCTTCTGCAAGATACCACAGAGCTGGGGCTCTCCTGGCCTGTTAGCCAGGCCCTATAGTGGTCAGCCCTACCTTTTGGATACCCCTTGAATGACTGCATTGCTCCCCAAAGGATTCCAGGACACTATAATATGACAAGTAATTTTTATCTTAAACGAGGTGGCAGCCTTTGAGCCATCATGTCATATGGACATGCCTGCAGGAGTTAAAGAGAGACTCTTACCACATCCTGTCCGGGCTTGGGGGCAGTTGGGGATGAGTAACCATCTAACACGTACTGGCGGTTCTCTCCCACCCCAGACCCAGTCTGAAGAGCTGGAGCTGTGCCTGCACCCGTGTCCAGGCCTTATGTTAAAACAATTAAGGCCAGCCTTGAAAGAGAGGGACTTGTAAATGCTTTTAAAACCAAACCCATTGCCATCGAGTCGATTCTGAGTCATAGTGACCCTACAGGACAGAGTAGAACTGCCTCATAGGGTTTCCAAGGAGTGGCTGGTGGATTCGAACTGTTGACCTTTTGGATAGCAGCCAAATGCTTAACCACTGTGCCACCAGGGCTCTTTTAGACGTTTTTTAAAAAAAAAAAAAAAAAGAGAGACCAGTGTACTGAAGATAGTGAACAAGCTTCCTTTCCACTGAACAAAAAAACCCCAAGAAGTACAGTAAGAGGCAGTTAGGTGAGGTATCCTGTTTGGTAAAGTAGAGGGTCAGTGAGAACAAGAGAAACCCTTAATGAGATGGATTGACACAGTAGCCACCACGGTGGACTCAAACACACCAGCAATCCTGAGTATGATGCAGGACTGGACAGCGTTTTCTTCTATAACACGGAAGGGCACCATGAGTTGGAGCCAACTCAGTAGCAGCTAACGACGTGAGGAAACCGCCAGATTGTAGAGATTGTTCACTGCTGAAAACATTCCTGACTGAAAAATGGAGGCAGTAATAGTCTTTTCAGGCACTGACCCGTTAGCGACCCTAGAGGACAGAGTAGAACTGCCCCATAGGGTTTCCAAGGCTGTAATCTTTACGGAAGCAGACTGCCACATCTTTTTCCTGGCGGGTTCAAACTGCCGACCTTTCACTTTGCGTCTGAGCGCTTAACCACTGTGCCACCAGGGCCCCTGGCCTCAGACACTTAGTATTATATAAATGTGGCCTGTTATTACCCAAAAAGGCAAAAAGACATCAGTATGATACACTGAAAGGACAGAATGAGGTGGAAAGGTCTGATGCCCATAGCGAATAGGAGATAGCTGATGTCTCTGTGCACAAGTGTGAACTGGACGTTTTTATGGGCAAGCTGTGCTTTGGATCCTACAGTCTGTGGAGGTAGCCCAGAATCTCCCAGGTGAGTGTGCACACCAGGATCACATTCTGATATGGTATGTGATGAGATAGAGAAGTTGAGGGACAAGGGGCCCTGGGAGTCAGGGAAGACTTTCTAGAAGGGAAGGGTGGGTAGGACTGTGATAAGTAGGAAGCTGAGGGCTGGTGGGCAGAAGGAAAGGGCAAATGAAGGCAGAATGAATGGAGCTTGTTTGTGCAGTGGAGAACCTTGGATGACAAGATTGGCAGGGTGTATTCATGGGCAACGGGAAATCTTTGGTGTTCTGAGTAGGGCAGATACTCATGACAGTATGAGGGACGGAGGGATATGTATGCAGATAGGAGGCTGTTGTGGGTGTGTGAATCTTGAACAACCATGCTGGCAGCAGGAAGGAAAGGAAAGAACCAGAGAGGGACAAGGGAGGACTGATCGGAGATAGAAGTCTCTTAAGAACTGAAGAGGTACGAGTAGGACCAGTCACTCAAAACCCTTAGCATCGAGGGTTGCTCCCAGTTCTTAGTGATGCCTGTCTTAGTCATCTAGTGCTGCTATAACAGAAATACCACAGGTGGATGGCTTTAACACAGTGTAGTAGGCTGCAAGTCCAAATTCAGGGCACCAGCTTGAGGGGAAGGCTTTCTCTCTCTGTCGGCTCTGGAGGAAAGTCCTTGTCATCAATCTTCCCCTGGACTAGGAGCTTCTGCACGGAGGAACCCCAGGTCCAAAGGATGCACTCTGCTTCTGGCACTGTTTTCTTGAAGGTACAGGGTCCCCAACTCTCTGCTTGCTTCCCTTTCCTTTTATCTCTTGTAAGATAAAAGGTGGTGCAGGCCACCCCACGGGGAAACTCCCTTTACATTGGATCAGGGATGTGACCTGAGCAATGGTGTTACGTCCCACCCTAACCCTCTTTAACCACAGGCAGAGATTATGATTTACAACACATAGGAAAATCACAAAATGGAGGACAACCACACAATACTGGGAATCATGAGCTAACCAAGTAGACACATATTTTGGGCGGACACAATTCAATCCATGACAATGCCTTAGTTTAACCCTCCCTAGTCCTCCCTGATGGATAGGGGCAAGGTCAGCAGGAAAGCGGGCAGAGCACTGTGTCCTCTGCTAGAGAAGGATTTGGCGGCTGAGGTCATTGCCAGCCCCCGCCCCGGCTGCTTTGACCAGCCTCTCCAGTGAGAAGCTAATCCTGCCCAGCCTGGATGGAAGGCCTGTGGGTGGTGATGAGTGGGAACGCCTGACCCTGACTAGGAGAGGAGGTGGGGTATATACTGAACAGGTGAGAGGGGGGAGGTAGAGAATCGAAAACTCAGAATGACTGCCAACTCCAGAGCCCAGTGTGACTGCTGAGGGCCTTTTATAACCTTTCTTAGAAGCCTGTGCGATACTGGGTCAATGCGTATCTTACAGTTCAGTTAATCACGTGGCACGGTTTTGCTGCATTTTACACAATGTTTATTATTGTTGTTGCTAGCTGTCATTCAGTGGCCTCTGACTCGGGGCAAGCGCGTTCACAGTGGAACAAAGTGCTCCCTGACCAGCCCACGGTCGTATGCGGATCAGACTATCTGTTGAGGCAGAAAGCAAGGACTTGACATTGTAAAAAGCTGTACCTCCAAACAATAATCCATTAGAAGAAGTAAAGGAAAAGATCACATTGAGAAAAGCAATAAAAAAGATGAACTACCAAGAGGTAAACTTCTGAAACGTGTAAAATTTATATGTAGGAAACTGTAAAAATATTCCTAAAGAATAAAAATTAAAAGAATTTGAGAAAAAAGGAAAGTTCTGGCATCATGTTCTGGAATAGCAAAATTCAAGATCCTAAATATATCAGCTTTTCCTATGTTAATTTATTAAATTTAATGCATTCCCAATAAAATATCAAATTAAAAAAAGCAAAAACTAGACAAGTGGATTCATGGCAGTGTAAAGGATGGAGGGATATGTATGCAGGTAGTTCGGAGGCTGTTGTGGTTGTGTGAATCTTGAACAACCATGCTGAAAGCAGGAAGAGGAGGGAAAGAACCAGAGAGGGACGAAGGAAGAATTTCCCAGGTTAAGGGGCTGTGTTAAATGGCTGGGAACGTGTTAAATTTAATAACATTTCATGAGGATAAATAAATAAGAGCTCTTGTTAGCTGTCATCGAGTGAGCCCCAACTGCTGGTGAACCTGTGCACTGCATCATCCTCATGATTGATTGCGGCTTGGACCCTTGTGATCTGATGGTTGTCATTGGGCTGATTTTTGGAAGAAGATGGTCAGGCCTTTCTTCCTAGTCTGTTAGTCTGAAAGCTCTAGCAAAACCCATTCAGCATCATAGCAACACACAAGCCTCCACTGACACATGGGTGGTGGCTGTGCATGAGATGCATTGGCCGGGAATTGAACCTGGGTCCTCACATGAAAGGCAAGAATTCTACCACTGAACTACCAATGCCCCTACAAATAAGAGCTACCAGCTATTGAATACATTATAAAACCTCAGTAATTAAAATGATGTGGCAGTGGCGAGTGAGTATACCGAACAGTAGAACAGATTTTTTAAAAAAGCCAGAAATAGTCCCAAGTATATATAGGAATAAATAAAAGAAACGGGGAGAAAGGTGTCATTTACAATCAGTGGGGGAAAATGGACTATTCAGTAAATGTTAGGACATCTGGGTGGCCATATGGAAAAATAAATAAACTGAACCATACAATAAGATACATTTCTAATAGATCAAATACTTAAATTGTAAAATATTTTAAAAAATGAAAAGTTTTTGAGATGCGTCCTGATTTGAACAAGTCCACTGTAAAAACACATTTTGAGACAGCTGGAGAAAATTGAATATCGTTTGAGTGTTAAAAAACTAAAGCGGTTGCCATAGAGTCGATTCCAACGCTCAGCAATGCTCTAGGACAGAGGAGAACTGCCCCACAGGGTTTCCAAGGAGCAGCTGGTGGATTCGAACTGCTAACCTTTTGGTTAGCAGCCGAGCTCTTAACCACTGTACCACCAGGGCTCCAAGGCTTCTAGACACCCTTAAAAAAACAAAACAAAAAACCAGCATTGTAGAAGAATTGACAAAGCATCTGGACAGACAAGGCTCTAAGACGTATGAAAAGATGCTCAACTTCATTCTTAGTAGGAGAAATAAGATCGTGCTGTTCTGAGAAAGCACAGAGGAGCAAAAATCTAGAAGCTGATGATGCAGTCTGGCGAGAGGCATGGGGAAACGAGAAACGCTGATGGGAACGTGAGATGATACAGCGTTAAGAAGGAGCAATTTGGCGGTTTCCGTCAAAATTACACAACCATATATTCTTTTGCCTGCATCCCTTCAGATATACTTACATTCAAGGTTATACACTGCAGCTTTGTTTGAAATAGGAAAAGATTAGAAACCCTAATGCCCATCAGCAAGGGACTGGTTAAATAAACTGTGATACCTCCGTACAGTGGAACACTAGGCAGCTGGAAGAAAATGAGGCTGCTGTCTGTGTGCTTACATGAAAAGATCTCCCAAGTATATTGCTAAGGGTACGTTGCATGCTACTATTTGTATATGACGCTATTCTTCTTGGATCAACAATCAACATCCATGGAAGCAGCAGTCAAGAAATCAAACAACGTATTGATTGGGCAAATGTACTGCAAGAGACCTCTTTTACAGTTCTAAAAAGCAGATGTCACTTTGATGTCTAAGATGCACCTGACCCAAGCCATTGTCTTTTCAGTCACCTCATATGCATGCAAAAGCTGGACAATGACAAAGGAAGGCACAAGAAGAATTGATGCATTTGAATTGTGGTGTTGGCGAAGAATATTGAATATACCATGGGCTGCCAGAAGAACAAACAAATCCGTCTAAGAAGAGATACATCCAGAATGATCCTTAGAAGCAAGGATAGCGAGACTTTGTCTTGCTTACTTTGGACACGTAATCAGGAAAGACCAATTGCTGGGAAAGGACATCATGGTTGGTAAAGTGGAGTGTCAGTGAGAATGAGGGAACTCAAGGAGGTGGATTGACGGAACAGCCGCGATAATGGACTCAGACATACCATAGATCATGCAGATGGCAGAAGATCAGGCAGTGTTTCCTTCTGTTATACATAAGGTCACCATGAGTTGGAGCCCACTCAACTGCAAGTAACAGCAACAACAACAATTTGTGTCTAGCTGGGAAAATAAGAACATTTATTTGCATTTTCTTGTATAAAGGAACTCTGGAAGGACAAACAAGAAACTAATAACTAAGAACTGAGGGAGGAAGAGTACTGGACGAGATATGTCACCATGAACCTTCTCCTTCTTCTATAGATTTGTTTTAATCCTGTGAATGTATTCCCCATCCAAGACATTACATACATAAAGTGAATTATAAAACACTCTGCTATAGGTCCATGCAGGTAATCACCTTTGCGGATTAAGTCCTGGCCTTATGTGTTACACCTATTAGCAGTCCAATTTTATATGAATTGAGTAAAAATCCAGAAATAACAATTAGGTCATTTGAAATCATATGCCTTAGTTGCCCATTAAATTTTCCTTTCAATATATGTTTTGTTCAGAATGGGCTCTGACCAGCCCTAAGTGAGAATCTCGATTAAGTGAGATACTGTGACTGTTTTGAGAAGGAAATCTCCCTTCTGTCATTCCTGTATCATTTCATCACCTTCCTCTTGATCCGGCCAGCTGCGCTATTAATATGGATACCAAGTATGTTTTAAAACCACAGGTAAAGAAATTAGATGGACTGTCTGCCATAAAATCTATCACGATTCTTGGTCGAGTTCTGTAGCCTAGAGGCAGGGCTGTTTTACTGTGTTTGATACTTCAAGCATACGCTTGCTGAATTCTTTTCCATCATTTGTTTTAAAAGCTGTATATTAACACTCATTTTATTTACTTCACACCATACCCAACAGAACTCCTTCTTTTAAACACAGAGACTCCTATTTTTAGTGTTTCGGGGAAAAAAAAAATTACTAAGCTTCTCATTCTCCCCCTCCAAGTTTTTTCTTCTTTATAAAGAAGAACTGACCAACCAAGTCACCTGTTGCTATTGAGTCGATTCCAACTAAAGGTGAGCCTATATGTGTCAGAGAAGAACTGTGCTGGAAAAGGTTATCAGTGGTTGATTTTTTGGAAGTAGACCACTGGGCCTTTCTTCCAAGGTGCCTCTGGGTAGACTCGAACCTCCAGCCTTTTGGTCAGCAGCTGAGCACATTAACTGTTGCACCACTAAGGGACTCTGAACTGTGCTCAGGGGCATTTAATGAAACATTATAAGTATTCTAGTTTTTATTTTATTGAAAAATAATCAAAACTATGTTGATAGAGACAGCATTTCCTTTGTGGGTGTTTAGAATGGCTAATAGTTCCATAAATCATTAAAAGAAAAAAGATTACAATATAACCTGATAATCCAGGGCCTGATGTTTTGAAAGAACCCTACCCAATCTTTAAATTCTGGCTCAGCCAATGAAAAGCCTCAGGACTTTGGAAAAGTGATTCAGCCTATGTGTGCCTCAGTTTCCTCATCGGCAAAACAAGGACCACAATAACTTCTACCTCACAACATGGTTATAAAGATTAAATGGTGTGAAGAGTTACTATATGGAATGTGCTTGGAATTGTGCCTTTCACATAGTACGTGCTACCTAAATATTAGCTATTATTAATATTGTATGTGTGTATACAGATAATTCTCCTCAACATCACTACACGTACACATTTTTTATCATTTACAAGAGTTCTGTTTCTAGTCAAGCAACAGGTGCCAATAAAATGAAACTTTGCTGTCAAAAAAAAAAAAAAAAAACAACTAATCACAGAACTTGGCTAAATTAAATTTATAATGATTCTCAACAGTCAATGAGCTGGTAAAAAGACAAGCAGTTAGAAGAGTAAAGGACTCATTAATCTGGATAATTATCTAAGTGGACATTAAATGTACAGATGACAAATTAGAAAATAATCTGTGTATTTGTGCACCTGGGAAAGACTATGATGGTGAAGAGAAGAGGTGGGTAGAGAAGCAGAGGGAAGAGGCTGACATGGTGGAGAGCAGTGGATGATCTCCCTGGGAGTAGCTGTGGAAGTCTGGCCTTGTGCTAAGTGCTCTGTTAGCTCTGTCAGCGTCCTTGATCCTTACAACAACCTTATGGTCTTTGTCTTAGTCATCTAGTGCTGCTCTAACAGAAATACCACAAGTGGACAGCTTTGACAAAGAGAAGTTTATTCTCTCGCAGTCCACTAGGCTACAAGTCCAAATTCAGGGCATCAGCTCCAGGGGAAGGTTTTCTGTCTCTGTCGGCTCTGGAGGAAGGTCTGTGTCATCAGTCTTGCTTTGGTCTGGGAGCTTCTCAGCACAGGAACCTCAGGTCCGAAGGACGCGCTCTGCTCCTGGCGCTGCTTTCTTGGTGGTATGAGGTTCCCCTGGGTCTCTGCTCACTTCTCTCTTTTATATCTCAAAAGAGACTGGATTAAGACACTATCTAATCTTGTAAGCCTCATCAGTATAACCTCATCATAGTGACAGAGTTTACAACGCATAAGGAAATCCCATCAGATTACACAATCATACAGTATTGGGAATCATGACCCAGTCAAGCTGACAGACATTTTTGGGGGACACAGGTCAATGCATGACACTTTCAATCCATGACAGTCTTCAGCATTAGAGCACATAATTAGCCTAAAAATCACATGGCTGGAAAGTACCAGAGCTGAGGTTTGAACTCATGTCTGTCTGGAGCCCAGGTTCTTAACCTCCAGGTGGTAAAGCTGCTCTTAGCATTAAGCATCATCTGTGACATTTAAGCATTAAGTGTCATCTATGACATATCATTCATCACCTGCCCTACATCAGAGTCTATGGAAAGAACCTTGTGATACAATTGCAGATTGTACCTCATGCTAAACTCCCTCCTAAAATGGACCAGCAATGGCTAGGTGTTAGGGTGAGAGAATGTGTGTAGCTCAGCCTGAACACACTTCCATTTTTAGAGAAATGCTTAGAATGCGACTCACTGAGAATGGTTTAGAAGCATCCTTTTGCAGATAAAGGATAGCGCATTCTGATCTTTATCGTTTCTTTTAGCTCAGCTTTGGGGTTTGGCAAATCTGATGCGTGCATTGGTTTTAGATTAAAACATGGCACACGTAGCATTTTGGAAAACAAAGAGAACAAATAAAACTCTGGGTGGGGGGGTTTAAATGCCTTTGCTCTAGGAACTTATTTTTGCTGGTCTTGTTAGCCATTTTCCGCGGCTGACAAACTTGTACAATTAGAGTAACGTGTTTCTGAGATGCAGAGGATGAAAACCGCAACAAAACAGAACCCTTCCAAGTTAGCGGATGAGTAATGTATATTAATGACGGGGAGGTGGAGCCAGGAGAGACGTTTGTAAAGAAAGAACCACCCCAGACGTCAGGGGGGTGTGTCT